CCGTATGCATACTACACATTGAATTCCATTGGGTGAGAAATCTGGGATGAGCCACTCGACCTTACTTATGCTACGTATATTATTCATCTATTCTTTCCTTTGTGGGCTGAGGTGGTGTAGTGGCAAGTGGCGCACTATCTCACACGCACAGTCAGGGGTTCGAATCCCGGATGCTAGAGTACATGAAAGATCGCCCGCTCACTACTATGGCCACAAACACTCATTATTCTCGATAATTTAGTCTCTGATCTCACACCCTTAAACTTGTCCATTTACACCACTTCACAAGGTGTCGTATGTGCTGTTCGAAGAAATTTAGTCGCTGCGCTTCATGCTGTGCGCTTTTGCCTTTAACGGTAGAAAAAAGGTCTGAAAAGGTGAGGCTGTCGCCCGACTCTGAACACTCCATGAGCCCGTCATGAAGTCCCATCAAAAAGGCATTTAACTATTTTCTCACATCATTAGGAGCAAGCCATCTGGCTAGAACTGCTGCTTCCCTTCACGGTTGATTTCGTTGTGGAGGTTAGGGAAGGTGGTGCGATCAGGATACTTTTCCAGTGTGGGGATCAACCTTCACCTTAGCTTCCAGTCTCTGGTCTTGCCCGCAAAGCAGCAGGTAATGTGGCATGAATGAAATTCCGAGTAGAGATGCGCTGCGGAGGTGGGAGCAGGAAGAGGCGGTGGGGGAAAGAACGGTCAATACTTCGTCGATGGAAAAGTGGGAAAAAACTGTACATCGTATCCGTCAGCATACCGCGAATTGAGACCTCGTTGAGTTGGTTTTGAGCAAAATCCGGGAACACCGAAATGAAGTTGGTGAACGCTAAGCTCTTGTACCTTTCATCTCAACCACTACGATATCAATGAGCGAGAGGTCTCCAAAGCATCAAGTTGTTGGTCCCAGCTCCACGGTACCGCTGAAGTAGCCTACGTCCCGCAGATTTCAGAGATTGCTCTTTAATCACATATAACCCAATAATACAACTCCTGCACATCAGACGTTACCGTAAATACTTTCACCCAGGGTATACGTTAACTCCAAATAAAAGTCAAGAAATTTCTCGTTTTGCTAAATGCTTCTACTCTCTCTTGCGAATTATTGCAGTCGTGACTTAACTGGTCATGAACAGTGACCTGGCAGAGGAAGTTTTTTGTCGAGCTCTTCAAGCTTTTAGCGAATACTTATAGCCCCTTGCCAGATTTAAGGGCTTGGAAAAAACCATCGCAAGCCAGGGACCATATCCGGCGTCACATGAACAGGGCAAACCTTTCGCTATTCAACGAAGTCTATACAATCGATCAATTGATTGCACCATGCAATATATTGACAGTTTGTTTATTTATTTACATACTTCGTCGTATTTACAGCTTTTAAAGGACTTCATGTAGTATTGCAGTCATTGAAAGACCTTTCAGCACATCCACTCACTTGCTTCGAGGTGACCCGTTTCAAGGCATAGTTCACCATAACAATGGTTTCCGAGATATCTCCTAGTATTAATCTGTGTCCCTGGCCCCCAGGTACACCACTATGGGCAAAAACGGTCTATATAGAGCGGGCATAATAAGGACTCAAACACTGCACCCGCTGTACGCTGCTGTACGTCACACCCAGGGGTGACCGTGTTTTAAATAAGGGAACGTATAAAGAAACTTGAGTGTCAAACACTATGTTGGGGCTAATAATCGACTCCCCTTTTCCAGCTGAAGAACACTTCTTGTGAAACCATTTAAAATAGAAAACAAGCCAGCTAGAAATTGGTTAGCATAAGAGCAGTCGAATACAGAAAACGAAAGATGTCCAGCTATCATTTTCACGAGGCACATTTTTGGAGCACGTTTTCCGAATACGTACTTCTGCACTACATCAATTCTAACACAAAATATGAGAAGGGGATACTTAGTCTGTTGCCCGATATTATCGTTCAACTAAACCTAGCAGAAATTATCTAGCAGTCTTGTAAGTGCTAGAGCTTTTACCCTTTTTGGGCAACCATGGCGAAGGCTAAAACGGTGAACATATAGCCAACCGTTTCCCAATACAGAAGTTCGATTAAATTCTTAAAATACTGTCAGGACATGCTTATGTGTTCTCGAGTCATGTTTATCACAAGCATTAGCTGATAGGGTAATAAGTTTTGCCATCATCTTATTATTTTCAATTTTTAACTTAATCAATTTAAGAGAAGTTGCTAAAAGGAATAGTCATAGCTCAAAAGGACCTCCTTAGCACACGCCATACCTTAACCATTCATTGGAGTCGGGACGTTTTTGATTGTGCATTTTCCCAGACATCGCAAATTCAAAACCATCCCGATTCCAATGAATGGTGAAGGTTCCAACCCTTTAAATGTCTGGAAAATATTCAACTCTGAAACCATGTCTTGCAAAAAGAAGAGTATTCTCGCAGAACAAAAGTGATTGTTCGATTGAGCTATTCAGATCCCCATGGATCGAAAAAACAGATTTCGATTGAGGCTACTCTGTCCATATGTAGGACTTACGGCATTCCATCGCTATGATATTTCTCACTTTTTGTTTGTAGATATAACCAGATAACTATTTATTAGATAAGATAAGATTATTGTATTCTAGGGAGTCAGCGCTTGAAGCGGCGAAAGCGCTCTTAGAGTCATCAAAGGACAAGACTTGGCAGCAACTCGTCGGCAGAAAGCTTGACGACATCCAAGGCAGTCCCTATTGTGAGAGGTAAGGATCACAACTTCGATGTCCAATTACAATGACAGTGAATTTCCTACTGGAAAAAGATAAAAATGAAAGGAATAACTCATCTTGTTGTCTTGCTTCGTACATTCATGCTAGAAAGTTTTATAGCAGTGAACTCGAGTATCCCTTTGATTCCCTCTGTTTGCTTAGCACGATAGTGGGTTGCCCACTGGGAGAACCGAAATCAATTTACGATACCTTTGACAAGGGTAAACGTTTACGGAATCAGAAATTTAAATGGAATTTCAACTGAAAGATGAAAGCAATCGATAGTTTTCTGTATTTTTCTACGTTCTCATCTATTGCGGAAGACTTTTGTTTTGTCGTTTTTTTGGAAATTGAAATTGACGACTGACTGCGTCAAGCTTAAAACAATTCTGCCCATATCGTTTTTCTGAGTACCGGTTGATGCGAGCTCTTGTCGCGTGCACTTATGGATAGCCAGCTTGCAAACGACTGTGTACTTCTGTGTTCAATGTACAGTTATTATTGGCTTAAGTGCTTCAGCAACGTATTCACATGTCGACTAGCTGAATAGCTTTTCAACTTTGCATTAGGAAAGGTACATATAGGGTTCCTCGCGGCGCCCGATTGACCACATCGTTCCATCTTTGAGGGCTCTTGCCCTTTCCGCTGTAGCAATCTCGTACCGAGGGCGAAGGTAGTGTAGCGGCGAGTGGCACGAATCTCATATGCATGACCACAGGTTCGAACCCGGATCAATATCCGCCTAGGTCAAACAAAACTTCTTTCCCTCTAGAGTCACTTAACTGGTAGCGGACTCTTCGGGGAGGATAGAAGCGCTGACTTGTAGGTCGGCTGGCGTCCGCAACTCATTGTATAGGCCACATACGCACTCATTACGCCACTACGATTCTGAATGGAAATCGAACGCGAGGCCCACACCTCAGACAGGATTGATTGATGCTAAAAAGTTTATCCTTTTATCCTAATGAACTCAACTGGGGACGTAAGAGATCATTGATTTCCATTTAATGGGACAATGATTTGAATGTTCCCTATTGCCTTAACATTTCCCCACTTAACGTTATTCGTCACAGCCAGCAGATCTTTTTTCGGTCTCATGAATGAAGAAAATACAAGGAATTGAAGTAAAATTTGTCAAAAAAAAATCGTCAAGATTTCAATCAACAAATCGATATCGTTCCATGTTGTAGCGATATTACAGTATTAATCTATCCATGTAGATATGAAAGGCTCAACCAGGATCAGTTCTTTTCCGCAATCTAATTGCCACCACACACTACTACAGAATCAGTCTACCCTGAAGATATCTGGCCCTACCAGGGTTTGTAAACCCACAGCCACTTCACAAATTGTTAACATCGTACCTTGGGGTGTGAATGACCAACTATTTCTGCTGTTTTTTCTGCAAGGAACCTGTGGGAAAAATTACAGAACTAGGAAACTTTCGAATCCTACGATGTAAACTCATTGTGATCAACAACTATCATTACACATACGTATTGCTATGATTACACCTATCTACTGCTATACGAGACACCCACCTAGCTCAGTGACGTTATTCGACAAGGTGTTGACATCGGTCATGGAAGTGAGCACTTGTGGTGAGCACGCTGTCAAGAAAAACAGATACGAAACAGCTGCTGAGGAACCGGAGCAGTGAAAGAGCATAACCTAGCAGTACATGGTGTATAACTCAACTTCTCGTATACTATGAGTAATCCCCAGTTCTTCTTTTTTGGTGCGATTCATTCGGTGTAAAAGGCAGATTAATGGTGCCTGCTTGTTATATGGTAACGATCGTTCAAGAAGAAATCGTGTAAACGGACAAAATTCCTGACATCTTGAGAACGGACCAAATTTCTGTGAATATTTACAATTCATCTGTCAACCGAATGAGATCGATTTCTTATCAACAACTACAACAGATCGAGAGCACCGTGGGATGCTAAGATTCGGCACAAAAAACATCAAAAGCTGAGCTCATGGGGCACCCACTTCCTTGTGAACTGCCCAGTAACCAAACACCTTCCAAGTAAGCAAGGATGAGGGCTCAGAAGGGCGTGAGTAGAATTCCAGACACAAGTAAGACCCAGAAGAGAAGCTTCCACTTTCTAACCTAAGAGACTCTTTGCATTCGTCGTCCCAAACATCATCGAAGTTGCTGAGGTCATTTTTAAATCTCATGGAGCAAGACCACACCTTCAGATAATCTATTAATCAAACAATCAATCGATCAATTAATAGACTTTTTCAGGTTATCAGAGGAAGAACTCGCAAAAAGCCCTATGTCGTACCGTGATTCACTTCGTATCTATCGCAGTCGCTCAGTTGATCTTGGCTTTTTGTCAAGGTATTTTTAGCACATCAATTTCATCTATTTACTCTTGTTCGCCCGTAATTGATACAGTCATCAGTACATTGTATCCGAGGAATATGCAAGAACCATTTGTTTGCTTTCTCTCATCGGAAATAGGCCTGATAAGAGCTCAACAGCGTGTAGAAGTAAACGCGTCTGTCGGTAAACTAGTGAAGTTTTTAACTTGATCTCACTGTGAGTGGAAACAAAAGGGAAGAACAAGTCCGATGTAGAATATGTTCAGAAGGACTAACAGCTACCGTGTAATACCGTACCAATGGAAGACACTAAACAGTTCAAGCAGCTATTTCAGTCACCAGAGACCCCATTGACCCGAATGAATTGGAGTTTTCCTTATTTCAATATATTTATAGCCAGGCATCGCAGTATATAGGCAATCTATAGCCATTATAACTTCAGCCATGTTTTGCAGAGAAAGTTACCTTGCACAATGGAACAGAGAGCGAACCCCAGTTTTCAACCAAGAACGATATCGAAGTCATGTTAGGCGAAGCTATACACCAGTCAGAGAGATTGCAGCCGTGGAGGTGAGCCAGCCGATATAACTGGATATTGAACTACAAATAAGGATCATAGTCATTTTTACTGTTACTACAGAAGACTTGAAAATCAATGTACATTAGGGAGGAAGGCCACCAGATGTTTGTAACGGTTCATGTATAGTGTCCTTGAAGATCCCTGGTCTTTTTGGGTCAAAAGATTCCTAAAGTGGTGTGTGTTGCAACTCCATTCCCATTTCAGAATCTCAACATCCACCATCCTCCTCTCCTTCCCCTCCCCCCTCTCCCCTCCCCCTACTGACGTTGAGACCTTCTGTTGCCACAGATGGCCATTTTACTTATTGTCGAGAGAAGCTGAGTATGATGAAGTAGTCAGACACGGAGTCTGTCATTACTCAATCTAGAAAGTGACGGGAATCGGTTTGACGATCACTGTTCTCCTTAGAAATTGTATTTTAAGCTTTCTTAAATGTCCCATTCTTACGATCCGTGCATGAAAACCAAATTCTGAACCAATGAAGCTGGTGGAACTGGCTTTAAAAATCTTTCCGCAGCTGTTGTGTTACCTCACATTACACCCATCGTCACCTCGCCTACGCATCTCGCATTCCTGATCCTATCAAAACAATCCGGTGGTGATGCTGCGATCCAAAGCAACTCGGAGATTTTTCGATGGAGTTTGAAGTGGTGCGCCTATCACGATGGAATGCATCAACCCACGATTTCAACATGAGAACCCTATAGGACCGGAAGACACTGCGGCTAGCTTACTACCAACAGGGAATGAGCAGTTGGATTGGCCGGGGTCAGCGATTCCACAGCACTCTACCTTTTCATCGCTTGCTACTGCTGTTTTCATCCAAAATAATGAAATGTAGCTGGTNTGGTGGAACTGGCTTTAAAAATCTTTCCGCAGCTGTTGTGTTACCTCACATTACACCCATCGTCACCTCGCCTACGCATCTCGCATTCCTGATCCTATCAAAACAATCCAGTTGGTGATGCTGCGATCCAAAGCTACTCGGAGATTTTTCGATGGAGTTTGAAGAGGTGCGCCTATCACGATGGAATGCATCAACCCACGATTTCAACATGAGAACCCTATAGAACTGGAAGACACAGCGGCCAGGTTACTACCTGGGGGAAGAGCAGTTGGATTGGCCGGGGTCAGCAATTCCACAACACTCTACCTTTTCATCGCTTGCTACTGCTGTTTCCATCCAAAATAATGAAATGTAGCTGATTAGCTGTCGGACGGACCATTTGTGGTCCTTCACCAGGTCAGGAACAGAAACATTTTTCAGAGCCCAGATTGAGTAAACAGTTTGAGGAAAAATCAGAAATTAGTAAATGGGAGCATTATAATATACGCAGACAGAGGTTAACTCTTGCTGACTGTCATCACTCAGAAGTTCTAAGAAGGTTCTGTTCCACTCCAGCTATGAAGCGAAGGCCCTAGCTATGAAGCAAAAGTTGTTTTATCTTCGATCTATCGTCTTCTTAGGATTGGCCATCGAATTCGACTCCCATTCAGAATCGTAGTAGCATTTAGAATGCGTCTGTTGCCTATACCGTGACCAGCGATGGCCTGCCTATGTTCAAGTCAGTGTTAGACGTTCACCCTATCCACCCTATCACACGAATTTGCTACAATTGACCATTACCAGGAGGGATTCGAAATTCGATTCAAACAGGGATTCGACTCCTATCACACTCTTGTGGTGATGTAAGCTACTTGTCTCTACATCACCTCCGTCCCCACCTTACGTGATTACATGCTCATTTAGTCAGTGTTGCCATCAACGAGACCAACTTCAGGTTACTCTCTTAAAACTGATTCTACATGCTTCCAGCTGTCAATAGAAATGACCTGGTATTCAGAAAGACCAGCAATACAGGTGCAGTGGATTACAGCGGAAAATCAGAGAAAGGCAATGAGATAGTTCAGGCAGTTCCACCTCGTACCTTTTCCTATCGCACTACGCACATCTCGTGTAGGAATCAAGAAGAAAACAAGCACTGGAATCATGAATCAAATTATTCTCTTTTTTCCCAAAATTCTTACATTTAATGATTGAAGACAATGGCAAACGATCGACAATGACGAACGATAGAGGGCGAAAGAATCCCGAGAAACACGGAAGATGGAGGAAGCATTTCTGTCTGTCGTCACAATCTCGACTTTACAGCAGCCCCTTCGTTTGAAACCTCTCACGTTTCAATTGTTAAAGCTGTAGAATACGCGATCCATTCCTTATTCACATAGCTTTCACCTTTGGAATCACTGCCCCCTCGCCCAACAGCCACCCCAAAACCGCGTCGGTCTACTTTTCAACACTGTCACTGTCGGATCGTCGGATCTTTACGTTTCGAGCTGTGCCCATGTGAAAGGTTCCGCCCCGATAAATCAAATCGAACTCCCCCGCAGGACAAAAGAAAAGGACAAAAGCGAGCTGTTAGATTTACCGATATCGCCCTCGTCATTGTCTGGTTCTGTCGATAGTGTCATTCATCTTGACAGCAGTACGGCTTTTCCACCTGCCCACATACAATTTATTGTCCCTGCTTCTCTGCCTTACCCCTGTCAAAGGCTTTATTCCCACTGATTCTGCGTAGTGGGTTATAAGAAGCCGCAAGCTTGCTCACATTCCCCTCCTACCCGGGGTATCCTCAGACTTCCACCCTTCCCTATTCCCCTTTAGGAAGTTTATCGGTGATCTATCAAAAGGCAGGTAAGGCGGTAGGTAAGAGGAAGCACTTCTACGATGCGATTGTTTCCGTGCATGCCGTATGCAACTAACTCTCAGCAGCAAAGTCTGAAAAGCCGATCAAATTTCTAAAACTGTGTACGCCCAGGGGAAAAAGCAAATCGGGTTTTTTGCACATCCGCTTGTTCTATACAGAACCAGCAACCAGATGATCATTCCGAAGAAATTTTGCTGCAAATCAATACCCATTCTTTCTCTTACAGCCTAGAACTCCCGAGAGATGATCCAATTTTAATCAGCTCTATACATTCTCCAGCTCAGTACTTACCACAACCGCTCTTTCCCTGAATCTTAATCGATATCTCCTATCCTACTGCTTTCTTTTACCCATGTCAGATTTTTCCCGCAACAGTTGAGCATTCGTTGCACTGACTCCTCAAACTGGCCCCCGACATACTAAGGAAGTTACAGGTAAGACTTAGTACCGCAAGAAACCCGATTTCTTCAGTGGGTAGCTTAAAATCCTAAATTTTAAAACTTTGAAAAATGATTAAAACTTTAAAAATGTGCAAAAAAGTGGATCTGTGGGTTTCGATTCCTATCTGGCAAGTGTTCGATCAGTTAAAATACCTCATGCGCTATCATTGGAACGAAAATGAATAGAAAGCTGCTGGTGTGATTTTTTGCTAGAATAGCCTAGAAATGAATCGATTTATCGATTGATCAGTGCATGCTTTGAGCGGCAAAACCACTCAATTACATTCACAACAACAACACCTGTTGTGAAGCTCTTGTGGTAGGTTACATATTGCAACAAACCCCCACTTCTGTTACTTTTGTTCCATCATTCTTTTTAAAATTAAAAATAGATAAAACTGATTTTCAGCCAGTCTATGACACCCATCAACCATTGACGTATCGTGACCGTACGCCAATAGCGATGGTAACTGCTCCTTACCATACCAACATCCATTACCGATCTGAAGATCAACCATTCCGTAAATACGATGTGTTCGGTCTACGTACATGGAGCTACCCGATATACAAGTGAGTTGTATGGGAACTTGTGCAAGTTGGTAGCTGCTACCTAATTGGGAAAAGGGGATTGGGAACAATTCTTCGAATTACCCATACATGATATTACACAATAGCTTGTCATGGAAACCATCAAGTAGTAAAGTTTGTAGTTACTTATGGGCTTAGTTTGTTGCCATTCGAGTTCTCTTCAGCGGCATGAACTTATAACTTCTCGATAAATTGATCGATTATCGATTGTTAATCGATTATCGATTAAATCTAATATCACTACCTCCAGATATGTCTATGGACGGGAACAGGACCATCGGCGACCGTATTCGTACAATTCATTCTTTCGACAATATGGTACAACGTCGCTGTACACACCACCGCAATTGGCTCCTGAAAGCCGTCCAATCACTACCAGACGAGGGTAAGAGTTCATTTTTTAATATAGGAGCATCTCCTGCAACTCACAAAGTGTAGAGTAGGGCGTCGCCATAGTTCTTGTGGGTTTCGATAAGAAAACTTAAGCCCTAAATCTTTGTTCCTATTTTCCCCTATATTTGAAAAGCTTAAAATTTTGAAATTGAAATGAAATTTTAAAATTTTTGCTGATTCACTTGCAACGATGTACTATTCTACATCAACAACACATTTTGACATCAAAAGGGTATTTCAAAATTGATCTCAAACCGGGTCTTTAACTGCTTATTCGGCCTACAACTTGACCCTCCTGGACCATCGAACCAACGATTTGGTGTCTTTGTTCTCTTAGAGGGTCTGGTACCCATGAAACCACGATATAGATTGTCCTAGACGAAAGTCTTTCGGGATTTGATTCGTGGACTAGGTGGTCGCCAATTGGTACTGAACCTTCCCCGTTGACTTATTTTCTTCAGTGCCTTCATTAATCGTAAGGAAACAAGTTGAAAATTTTATAGCACGATTTCAGGTATTCTGGCTATGCCTACTTAGCTAGTGAAACGAACTACGATATCGCCAGTCAACCGAGAAGCCTTAAAAACTACATGTATACTCGGACATACTTAGGAACTGCGTAAGTGCTTTACATTCAAATTTGCTAATTTGAGCGTTTATTACGTTATTGTTTTCCGTTCCTGCATTTGAACTGAGCTGCCTTAAAAAACAGCGTAATGTAACTATTATAATACACATAACGAAGCCGTGAACAAGTTCTGGTGGTCACTTTTCCTGGAAATCTAACCTAGACATCCCCCTAATTACCTTCTTTCGTTTCTTATAGCGCACTCTCAGATGTATTTGACAGAAGTTGATCCCTTATTCGATTCTGGATCCTACGCCCATGATGGCTATCCGTCCTCCTTGTTCAAAGCAAAGTCCCAGCGTTCGTTGATAGGGGTTTTCCTATGTAGAAAAGAGATGTGAAAAGAGGAACTGAGCATCTTGTGGTGTCGTAAACCCAATCACTGAACGTTCATTGTTTTTTCGACATCTGTGCGAGCATCCAGTGAGTATGGTGTATAAATGGTAGTTACCGGTATGGCATGATCCATTCTATTGA